GGATTCTGAGGGGCAGACCTGGCTCCAGCAATACCACACAGTATTACATCCTTGGTGAAGAAGTAGGGGAAAGATAGATCCTGGAGCCAGGACTCGGGGGAAGGAGTTGTGAATTTTCTGAAGAAATGGCAGAATTTCTAGATTACTAACTGCTTTAGGCTGGAACCAACTTAATAAGATAATGGAAAGCTACATTTTCAATATACTTTGGCTATACACAGTATATCCTCCCATCAATCCCTAGGAAAGTTGAATAACTAAAACAACTGTAAGTGCTGCAGTTAGTGACAGGCTAGCAGAAAGTGACAAAGCTAGAGAGAGACAAGGTGAAACTTCATAGTCCCTGGCAAAATTAATCTCGGATTTACCCCGACATAGCAGTAAATGGGAATTCTGGGTTTACCAAAGAGAGATGAAAGGATATGTGTTGCCATCCATTATGATTTTTGTCATAGACTTGACCCCAAAATTTCTTTTTTAAAATGGTCCCTGTTTTAACCTGAGATTATGGAATCTACATCACTTGGCAGGTTCCAAAAGTTATACATAATTTTTAAAGAATTTAAAGCCTTTATAAACATTCCTTCATCTACAAGGTTAACTGATTTATCGCACATAAACCCATTATTATGACTGGGATTCTCTCATACTTCTAAAAGGAAAACAACAATTAGGTTGATCAATTACCCATTCATTCCAGTTCTGATACACTCGATCCATAAGTAATTTTTTTCTTTAAAAAGACATTAGGTCAAAGTGGGGAGTTGACTACAAAAGGAGTAATTAGAGTGATTTAAGTGGGGCGGTGTACTTGTTTTGTTAGTGTAGGTAGTAGTTTCAAGAATCTATGTATTCTTATTACACTGATGGACAGTGACTGCATTGGGGTATGGGGTGGAGACTTGATAATATGGGTAAATGTAGTAACCACATTGTTTTTTCATGTGAAACCTTCATAAGAGTGTGTATCAATAATACCTTAATAAAAAAATTTTTTAATCTATGCATGTATTAAAATTCATGAAAAAATACTGTACATAAAATTGCTTAATCACTCCCCTTTTGGAAATGTCTTATTAAAATCTCTTTAGTCATGTAAAAAAATAAATAAGCCTATTGACTCAGAAAAAGAAGTCTAGAGACACTCAATCCACATTAACAGAGCAACTCTTAACTAACAGACTATATATACCCAAACTACACATCTAATCCCTTTTATTTTCCCTCTCTCAACTAGAAACTTGTGTGACTCAATTATTTGACCTAGAAATAACATAAAGGCTACCACAGAATATATGGGAGAACAATAACTTAAAAAGAAGTGCACCACTATGTCACCACTCTAAAAGGTAAAGCTGGACCCAATGCCTGGAAAATCCAGACCCTGATTATGAGAAAATAGAATGGCCTTTTCAAGAAAGAACAGTTTCCTGTCACACAAGGTGTTCTACCAGACACTGGACTACTGAATTGCCAAGCTTAGAAAAACAGACCATACAAATCAGGAAATGGAGAGAGAGTAGAGGGGAAAAATCAAAATGTCAAATTTGGTGAGAGGATGAGGTAAGCAGAGTAAGGAGGAAGTTGTCCCAGGAAAGCCTGAAAATCAGTGAATCTCCCAGTCTTCCTTTCTTCTTTTCTTCAACTAAATGTTCAGTCAGTGTTATTCTTCTAGTCTAAGAGTTTCTCCTCCAAAGTATTTTTTTCCTCTATCTCTACTTTGATAATGTAATAGGACACTTCTGATTTCTTCATACCCTTATTTGTTTACATACCTGCTAGGTAGTCTTCAGGGCTACAGACTCAGTCTTACACAGGGGGAAAAATTCTAAATTATTTGCCTCTTTCTACAGTATGACAAAGCTCAGAAACAGGCAGTTAAGAGAAACCAAATGATAGGGATTTATCCCTAAGATATGATGACTCCAACAAATCAAACAGTTCAGAGGATACATACACAAGCATACAACACACACAAAGCAAACCAAATGACTCAAGAGGGTACACACATGTAGCAACATGGGTGGGAGGGATCTCTCTCTCTCTTTTTTTTAAGTGTAACTGAAATAAAATACCTGCTCTCCATAAAAATTCCAACTGCTACTCTACAGGATTTCCTATGTATGGATCAAGCTACCACATTCTACAACCAATCCCCTCCTGTCAAGACAAACATTCAATGCTCAAAATAAAACAAGGCTGGACGGCTTCTTTGGTTCCTCATTTACAAACATACTAATTGTCAGTACACAGTGAATTAATTCACATTTGCTTTTGTTATCAATAGCTTAGTGTTTAAATACTTAGCCTTTTCAGGAGGTAGAGTACCTTAATGAAGACTGAGGGAATAATGATGCTTAACAGAATAACTATAGCCCCTCTGATTACTTCCTCATTTGCACAAATCTGGGACCAAAAAAGGGTAAAGTAGGTTCAGTACATGTTATATTTGGAATCAGAAGATTTTCTAACTTATTTCATTTACATATTCACTCACTGAACATTAGGTAAATGTTCCATACATTGTTCTGGTTACTGTGAATATGGCAGGGAAGATAAAGTCCCTGTAGTCAGAGAGAGCATAGTGTGTTGGAGGAAAAAGACCATAAATAAACGATCAAGAAAATAAGCAAGATAATTAGCTGATAATGCAAGTAAAGGGTCTGAATTTACTTCTTAGTGTAATGAGAAGCCACTGAAACAGGAAGGTAAAGATCACTCTTTACTGTTTGAAATGGAAGAGCAAGACCAGAGGCAAGGAGACACCAGTAAGGAAGCCACTACCCAGGAAGAACTGGGGTGGAGGCAATAAAAACAAAGTGAAGTTTATATATTTTGGAGGTGAAAGTGACAGGGTTTGCTGAGGACTGATGGGGGTGGGGAGCAATGAGGCAAAGGGATGTCTTAAGGATGATCACTAGATTTTTCAGTGAAGCAGGGTGAGGGCAGGGGACAGAGTGGCACCTCTTATGAGGTAGAGACTGTTGGAAAGGAATAGGTTGAGGAATGGTAATCAAGAGCTCCACTCTGAACATGTTAAGTTTAAGATGCCTACAGACAAATTAAATGAAGATATCATGCAAGCAGGTAGAAGAATCTTAAGTTCAGTACTGGAGATAAGAATCTGAGCATCAACAGCACATTGATAGTAATTAAACCAGAGGATATAATGAGATCACCCAAGCAGAGTACAGGCAGAAAAAAAAAGTAGAGGGACAGGCTTGGAAGCCCTGAGGCATTAGGATGTTTTGAATTCTGGAAGAGAGGGGGAAAGGCACAAAAGAGTAAGGAGAAGGAAAACTAAAAGTTCAGTATCCTGAGGAAGGTTCCTTTATATGATTCTCGAGTCCAACACCACCTTCCCAACCCACACACATACTCAAATTCCATAAATAAAAAATATGAGGCACAGAAAGACTGGGTGACACTCCCCAAAGGCCCAGCTGTTTGGGACTTAGATCCAGGACTAGAATCAAGATGTAACTTCTGGCCTCTTACTAGCCTTTTCACAGTGACTATTAGTGCTGCTCCTACTGTTAGGTTCATCAGTCTAAATTTAGACAACAGGGAAGGTCATAATTGAGGAAGAACATAATTAAACTACAAGGAAGAACATAATTTAGATTACAAGGTTCACTTTCAATTTTTTTCTACATACTTTGTTTACAATCACAAAGCAAGTTGAATCAAAAGTCTTCATGGTTGAGTGTTTTAGAAAAGCAGGAACTATAGGCATGAGATACAAAATTCAATAAATCAAAACCCAACTCAATTTTCTCCACTTCTAAAAAACGCCCAGAAGACCCTCATCAAAGTGTAAATTATGGGGTGTAAAACAAAGTTTATTGTTTTTAGTAATTTTGCTTTGTAAATACAATTTCAGTTTCTAAAGCTTAAGATTTTTACTTTGTCCCACTCTTGCCTTCTGAAACTAGGTTAAGATCTTCTAACCATTCTCTCCTATGCTACATTATCATGACTTAAAAACAGTTCTGCTTTTACCATAAAAATCTTACAGCAAATCATAAAAATCCCCAATGATTAATGAACTGCTGAGAACTGTGACTCGTTGGAGATGATTTTATGAGGAATCATATTTCCAAACACGCATTCTTTGCTTCAAAATACGTACTCATATAATTTAATTATGATGACTTCACCAGACAGTAATACTCCCCACAATAATGTTTACAAAAGCACTTGTCACTCCCTTCGGGTGTAGCAATGCAGAAAAATAAGTCTGTTACCATATTCTCCATGTGTTTATACTCTGTAACAAGCGACAGAGTTTACATGTCACATTAAGATTATTTAAACAGAAAAACACTTCAAGTCCCACCATCTTCCACCCCAAACGAATCCTAAATTCGCTCGGTTATTTCAGCAGCAATTCCCACTCAGTACCTAAGTCAGATATTTTACAAGTTAGCCTTAGCAAGAAAAAGATTACAGTATTCTCGGATGACTGTAGAATTCTGTTTTGGCCACTGTTAAGATAACAGGCTCCAACAGTAAGCAACTCCAGTGGAGATTTATTACAACACTGTGCAGCTCGGAAATAAATGTGCCCCCAAACGTACACCCGCAGCCAGGAATTAGCAACAGCTAACACAAGATGCGGCAGCAAGGTTGCTCTTACCAGTCTACCATTCACCCAGCACTCGCGGTCATGCCCATCATCCTGTCCGATCCTCAAAACAACCCCTATGAAGTGTGTATTATTACTCCCATTAACAAATCAGTCTTGTGGCCCAAGGCCTCAGGGCTGGTCAGTGGCGGTGCTACGATTTGAAAACACAACCAACCCCGCCCCTAAAATGCATATCGGTAGAAAAAGGCACCTGAGGGTGGGGAGGCTCCGGGGGTGTCCCCAGAGACGCAGGGGCAAGGACACCGCCTCTCCACGGAGGTGCCCCATAGAAACACGACCAAAAGCAGCGGCTGCCCGACGCAACCGGCGGCACGCCTCGGCCGCCCGGAGGCCGGGCAGCGCCGCTCACCTTGGAGTCCCGGGAGGGCCTCAGTCGAGCGGGTGTTCTCCACGGCGGCAGGAAGCACCAAGTAAGTCCCGAAGTTGCCGTCGCCGCAGACTGTGGCGAGCAAGAGCGCACCGCCGACCCGCGCGAGGGAACCTCAGCGGGCCGCAGCCACCACGTCGCCCCTCAGCCGCGCCGCATCCGGGTCCCGCGCCGCCGCACTCACCTGCCCAGGACTCCGCGGCCGCCACCTCCCGGCTCCGGGTGTGTGGTCAACAGCCCAGGGCGCCGCGACCTTCTAGTGGCGCCCCCATCCCTGCATCCCTCAATCACCTCCCGCCTGCCCTGCACGGCGCTACACCAGCCCGCCGACCACTGCCATGGCCCGCTCCGCCGCCGCCTCACCCACCGACGGAGCACGCGCGCGCGCCACCACCGCCGTGCCCGCGCGCGCGCGCCGCCGCCCTTCCCCACTCCCCCGGCCAACCTCCCGGCAGCCCTCGCCCCGCCCCCGCTCCTTTCGGGCCAATCCCCGTCCCCGCCGCGGTTGCCGCCGGACCCCCGAAACGGGCGGGGCGGGGAGAGAGGTTGCACCGCCGCCCAGTTCTCTCCGGCTGCCTGCGGGACAGCGATGCTACAGAACGGGTGGTCTCTTTTCTGCGGCTCCCAGAGGACTGCGGGATCTAGAAGTCCCAGCCAGCAGGCCCCCAGAAGTTCTGCCCCGGCCATCGTATCCCGCTCCCGAGAGGGCCCTCTTTTTCTAGGTTTCCTTACTGACCTTCTCTTCCTAGTCCCACTCACCAGTTTCTCTGTGCGACTTGAAACAGACTTCTTGGTTCCTGGGCGCAGCGCTTTGCTTTTCAGCCTTCCCCTCTGTCGCTTCAGTTCTGACGGCGAGGATCCTATATCAGCTGCCTCACAGCTGGCCCTTCTCCCTGCACTCTTTATGGTCATAAAAGCAGAAGTCCAGTTTTCCAACCCCAGAATTCTTTAACTGTGTGTGTTCATTTTTATGATAACAGGTAAGATTTACTCAACTCAGCAGACTGTACCTCCTTTTATCTTTATAAACTCAAATTAGGAAATTTCATGGCCCTCTTTCTTAGTGAAACACTTGAATCTCACTTAGTGAAAACCAAAATTTTAACTTACTGCAAAGTGGTTTTTGTAAATTCACTGCAAGTTATTGCTGCCATAATAGCTCAGGCAAATAGTTGAGTAGTCTGGAATCTAGGAGTAAAACTTAATCCAAGGCAGAGGAGACGAGTTCATGAAAAAAGTTTGTTAAATGGTCATGGTTTAAATGAATATTCATTATAAAGGTAAAACCTACCATATTCAAAAATAAATTCCAGAAGAATTAAAAGATACAAAAAATACACAAGACAACAACTCATAGGAAATTTTTTAAAGAATAGATAAATATAACTTAGGTGAAGGAGAAATTTTAAGCAAGGCAGGAAGCCAGTTATTAAAAAATAAAAACGTGTCTAAATATGTGGAAGTTTTGCATGACATCACAATGACAAGTTTAAAAATAAGACGGATTAGAACTGCACAAAACATGGCAAACACATTGTATCTCTAACTTAAAAGAGGTTCTATAAACAGATTTTTTTTAAGCCAAATAGTTCAATGTTTTAAAAATACTGGCAAAGTATACAAGCAGGAATTAATGGAAGAGAAAATCAAATAGTCCATTAAAAATATGACTTACTTTATTAATGGACTGGGAAAGCAAAACAATAATCCATTTTTCACTCATTAGGTTAGTTAACAAGAACAATGATACAGGGGGAAACAAGCACTTGGTATATCTATGAAGGGAGTATAAATTGCCACAAAGTTTTTAGGAATAATCTGGGAATATATATCAAAATTTAAAATACACATACGTAACCATGGGCCCAAAAGTACATTCTCTTATGATTTGAGATTTTTATCATGCTCACATATTACCTAGTACATATATATAAAGACAGTATATAAAAGGGCCGTAAATTAGTGAGGAAAGACAGAAAGCATGAGAGGAAGGGGCGGAGCCTAGAGGTGGAGTGCGTGTGGCAATGAGGGCCCTAGAAGGACAGGAAGTAGGCTCAAGGACTAGCCTTGCAGATTGAGGAGGGTGATCACATTGTGTTTTAAATAAAATTAGCCTTCAATCCTATTAACTTGCAACTCAGGAATGAGTGTCATTTGCCAAAGAATATAAATTGAATGTGGAGAAATAATAAACCAGGCACTTTTGAAACCAGTGAGGGCTTGTATGCAGAGGTAGCAAGATCAGAGATTGGAGCCCTGGCTTCCAAGGGGCCTGGGTGTGGCTGCCTGGTGGAATGTAAACTCTTTGTCAACAAAGGCTCTGCCCTCTTTGTTGTTGCGGACAAACCACCCCAGGCTCTAATTTAACCTGCTCTTACAAATAAGGAAGATAACCTCATGTAATTAAATTAGCATGTAAAATAATCTGCTATCTCAAACAGCTTTGAATCAAGAATTTTCTGGCCCATTAGGAAAACGTGAGAAGCAGAAATATCTCAGTCTGTCAGGTCAGTGGCCCATTTCCAGATTCTCCTGAGCCATCCGTTACTGAATCTTTATTGTAGAACCTGTCTTCAGCTCCTTGGGCAGCTCACAAGGCCTTAGATTTGCAAAACAAAGCCGTAACTTCAAAGAAAATTCCTTTAGCTAAAATATGGGCTCCATCACAGCCTTTTTCTTTAAGAAAACATGAGACTGAAAGGCTGACTTTCTTCCACCTCTGTTGCTTCTTAATTAAGTTTTTATTTCAAAGTGTAGATAAAGCAATTTGGCTTTTTACTGAAAACCTTTTGATACCATAATCTAGCCAAGCTCACAGGTTTAGAGCAGTCTTGAAATACCTATGCAAATGAAGGGGGAAGCTTGCACGTACAGGATGAGTCTCAAAAACAAAAACCTGGATTGCTCAATCAGAGTGGGTGGGGACCAGAGTGAAGTGTAAAATGACTTCCTTAGTCTTCAATTCCCCTGGCTGGTCAAGGGGTGAATAAATGTTGTTCCTCTTACAAGACCAAGATTTACACATTAATAGGGTTCAGAGATATTCCATCCATACTAAACTTTCAGAATGATGTCAGCAAGTATTTGTCAAGTTCTCTCCTTAATTGCTACCAAGAGAACTCATACAAGAAAATGTTCCCCAAGTCCTCAAATCAGTAATACACAGACTCTTTGGAGGCTTAAAAATATATATATATCTCCTCAGAATCTTGATAATATTCACCTCTTCATTCACTCTGCAACAGTCCCAAGCATTGGGGTAAGTGGCAGAGATACAGGACTGAACAAAACAACATGATTCCTACAGCAAATGCTGCAGAGGAAGAAACAGTCATTAACGAAGTCATGACATGATTAACTGCAAATTACAGCTAAATGCTGTAAATTTAATAATGCTGTGAAACTAAAGAATAATGGGGGGAACTGACTGAGAGGCGAAAGCAAAAGTTTCCCAAAGGAAGTCTAAAGTTAGACCAGGCAACTGGGAGCAAAGTTGCCCCATTCAGCCAAGGCAAAGGTCCTGTGGCAGAAGGGAATGTGGCTGTGTGAAAACCAAAGACCATCTGGTGTGCAGAAAGCATGGTATGAAACTCAGGGTAGGTATTACCATCCCTAAATAATATTCCCAGTTCTCTTCTCCAGCACACTTAGGATGATTATTCCCTCCTACTACCTGGAAGTTAGATGAAATCCTTAAAGTTGGGTGAAGACATGAGACTTGCTTTAGCCAGTAAATATGAGCAAAAGTGGCATCTGTTACCTCTCAGGGGAAGCGTTTAAGAGGTAGAGTGTGTTTTTCTCCTAGTCCTTTCTTTCCCACATGCTGATGGGAAGGTACCATAAGAAAGGAGCAGTACTCTGAATCTCTCTGCCAGCACGTGAAGGATGGCTAACCTGGAGAGATGGAAGGAGCTGGAGTAGACTATGCATAAACTAGTGGTTGCCATGTTAAACCACTGCGATTTGGAAGTTATCTGTAATTGCAGCAAGCCTAGCCTATCCTACTGATATAGACCCAAATTTGAGATACTCCGTAGAGGAAACACATAGCCTAAAGGAAAAAAACTAAGATAATTCAGAATTTAAACAGAAAGAAATTCTATCATCTACAGCCATATCTACATCTCATCGTCATTAACATTCATTCATGAATTTCAACACCTAGTTTTTCAAAACTGCCTCTGATTTTTCTGTATGAAGTCTTAAACAGTGAAGAAGAGTGTTTTTTTTTATTTTATAACGTTGAATAGAAAATATCATTACTTCACTATTATCTATTAGCTGCTGGCTAAGTATCTGAATTCATTCATTTAATCTTCCTAATAGCCATATGAAGTAGGTCTATTATTATATACATTTTCCAGATGAGGAAACTGAGGATCAGAAAGATTCAACAACAGCTGGGAAGTGATGTACCTTAAATTGAAACCCAGATCTGTCTGGCTTCTTAATAAATAGGTCTAACTCTTGGAATATTGGAATTTTGTGCATATCCTGAGACTAAAAACCCTACTGGACCGAACTTCTTCAAGGCAAGGATGATGTCTTATTTGTTTTTGCATCCCTAGCACAGAGTCCGCCACCTAGATTATCCTCAAAGCATATTTTTGGAAGTAATGAATGACTGAGAAACATAAATGAATTTATCCTAGATAAGCTACATTAGCCCCTAGGGATTATATTTTGGCTATTTATTTATGTACTTGTGTCTCCTGCTGTTTTGGGGAAGCGTTGTGTATTTTCCTCTGTTCTTGTCACCATCGCAACAAAGAATTGAAGGGCAGAAGCACAATAGTGAAGCAGAGTAAAAGTTTTATTTAAAGTTACTTAGAGCAAAAGTGCAGGCAACCTCAGGTAGGAGAGGCACCTTGCAAGGTTCAAGTTTTGTTGAAAGAAAGTCTACGCGCTTAGTAAGTGCGGGCGGCCTCAGAGAGAGGGAGCGCGCTGAAAGGTTTAGGGTCTGGGGTTTTATAGGCAGTTGAGGATTTTCAGAAAAGCGACAGAGCCAGGTGCAGACGGCCAAATTGTTCCAGAATGTTCATCTTTGGTCAGACATTAAGTTTCTTTTTTTTTAATTCAACACAGGAAATATACTGCTTCGATTCCTTTCCAGGATATCAGCTCT